TTTTTTTTTTTTAATTTTCTTTTTTTTCTGAGAGAAGTATACAGCGTATGGGTAAATGTATGCAAACAGTCACAAGTACTGGTATCAACCAATATGCAAACGCACGCACATAAGATGCTGAACATGGATTGCACAGTATTAGAAACGCGATTCCAACTCGAGGGGAACCCGAATCAACGTGATTTCCCCCAATCTCGCGCAACACACGCACACCATCCACCGAGCTGCACCCCCAAAGGAGGGGGCGGGGTGCGGAACTACCTTTCCGTCCACAGCCGCTCGTATAGCGTCTTCTCGCCGGCAATTTTGACCCCAGGGGGTCTTAGGCTCCCTCTGGGGTAGGCTCTGAGGCAAATGCATATGGACCTGCGTGGCGCACAGATTCATTCACCGCGTTAATGACCTAAAAACGTGGAGGTACTTGTGGTTTAATGCAAGTCGATCGACCAGCGCAGCGGAAGAGTGGGGGATGTCATGTTGATTCAGGTTTTACACACGGCCGATTATTAGGTGGAGGGTAACATGCATCCGCTTATTAACTGTGAGAAGTAGCTATGCTTGTATAGGCTGAGTAGTAGTGGTAGGTAGGTAGTGAAAGGTGAAATTGAGAGAATAAATATAGTTTAGTTCTTGAAAAAAAAAAAAAAAAGGGGGGAGGAGAAAGAGAAATAAAGGATGTGTTCTGCTGGTCGAACACTCTTCTGTAAATTTGAACGATACTACGATAGTAAGGTAGGATGCAAATTTTTTTTTTTTTTTTTTTTTTTTTTTGGGCAAATCATACAGAGAAGGGGAGGATTGCTCCTGCGCAAGGATGACACGTGTAAATCGAGAAATGATCCAATTTGTTTGCGATGCCAAAGACCAAAAAAAATAAAATAAAAAATTGTTGTGTTTTGTTTTGGGGTCGTACACTGTTGTGTTGACGAATACAGTTGACAGTACAAAAAAAAAAAGAGGATTGGAGTGAGCGCATGAATAGGGATGTGTTTTGATGGAGAGAGGCAGAAAAGAAGAAGATTAATTGCGATTTTCTGAATAGGGATGTGTTTTGATGGAGAGAGGCAGAAAAGAAGAAGATTAATTGCGATTTTCTGCACATTTCCGCAAACGGCGTGAAGATTCAGATGTTAAATCCAATCCTCTTTACTACCGGTAGAGGGATCTCGCCCCTGAGCGATAAGTGGAGACTTCCACTAGCAAAGAGGATTGGAGTGAGCGCCTGAATAGGGGGACGTGTTTTGATGGAGAGATGCAGAAAAGAAGAAGATTAATTGCAATTTTCTGCACATTTTCGCAATAAATCCAATCCTCTTTACTACCGGTAGAGGGACCTCGTCCCTGAGCGATAAGTGGAGACTTTCACTAGCAAATTGGATTGGAGTGAGCGCCTGAATAGGGACGTGTTTTGATGCAGAAATGCAGAAAAGAAGAAGATTAATTGCAATTTTCTGCACATTTCCGCAAACCACGTCAAGATTGAGGCGTTAAATCCAACCCTCTTTACTAGAGGGACCTGGCCCCTGACGGATAAGTGGAGACTTCTGTCCCAGACAGCGAACGTCCAAAGTTTTTTTTTTTTTTTTTTTTTTTTTTTTTGTTAAAACACCAGTACCTCCGCCAGTGTTGGGAAATTACGTTGTCCTGGCCAGTACCCGAAGTTTTCGGGGGTCGGACACAGGGTCCGCAATGTCCCAAAAATCGTAGTTTTCTTTTGCCCGTGCACGAAAGAAAAAGAAAAAAAAAAAGGCCTTTGGACTGCAATGATGTTGTACAAAAACTTCATATGGGGATATCCCGCTTCCCACTTAACGAGGTGATAAGAGCAGGTCCGTTAAGTGGGTCCCGACGTTGAAGGCTCCATCTATTGGTGGGGAGCTGAATGGTAATGCACATGCAAATGTCTGCAACCTGGTCACGAGTTCGAACCCCAGTCAGAAGGAACATTGCAAAGAAAGGGAAAAAAAGAAAGGATACAGAAGACGACAACAAAAGGGGGGAAACCTGGGCTACCAGCGGGGCCGCCCGGGTCACCTTGTTTGACCGGGCAGCCCGGCCGTGGCTGTCGGCGTTCATATAAAAAGTCAAAGGCCTGCCAGATGGCAGGCAACGGTGAAAAAAAAGAAAAGAAGAATTTCTCTACCAAATTTAAGATTAAAAAAAATAATAAAATGTTTTCAAAAATTTTGAATTATTTTTGGCCCGGCCCGGGGCCACTCTGGTAACCTAGGGAGAAATGTGTTTTTGCAAGTCCATCTGTTGAGTGGAGTGTCAGACGTACCGTCTTCACCCGAACAGACCGCCCAGTCTTCACCCGAATAGAATAAAACGCCCAGTCACTATAAGCTGTATTGGAGGCAACTTTCAGTCCAGATGCAGCCATTGTGGCTGGGCGTTCTATTCGTGTGACGATGGTAGTTCGAACTCTGTTCTCGTGCTGTGCGTTTTTGGTGTCTTGAGAGGAGTGGAATTATAGTGATTACTGTTTTTACTCGAATAGAACGCCCGGTCATTATCAATGCATCTGGGCTGGAAGTTGCCCCAAATACAGCTGTAGTGACCGGGTGTTCTATTCGGGTGAAGATGGTAGTAGTAGTTACAGGGACTGGAGTTCAACCGGGCTAAGGACAGAGCTTGGGAAATTTCTTGAATGACCAGGGATGGAAGTAGAATTTGCTATGGGACCAGTAGCTAAGGGGGTATTCCAGCAACTCCGGCAAGTCCTGAGGTCAGCTTGGCGAGCAGGTGGAGTTCTGATGCTGCCAGATTGCATCTTGCTATTCTTAGGTGGAGGTATGTGCCCTGCGGGTACTATTCGAGACTGCAATGATGTTCCCAGGGTAGTATTCGAGACTGCAATGATGTTCCCAGGGTAGTATTCGAGACTGCAATGATGCTCCCAGGGTAGTATTCAAGACTGCAATGATGTTCCCGCCAAAAAGTTGGGACCGGTAGTCCATTCAGGAGAGCAGGTTGGTACCGGAGGAGGCTGCGTGAGGAGAGGAGCAAAAGTATCATTGGGTGCGGGCAGTTACTCTGGTAGTCATGCTGCTAATCTGCCCAAGGGGAGAGTGAGGTGGAGGAGGAGCAGGATGATGAAGAAGACGTCCATGGCTATGGAGAAGTGAGGATTAGAGAGGAAGTGACCTAGCTACGGAGGGAGTGTAGTCAATGCCTGCATCGAACTTTAGGTAGTTGAGGGAGGTGTGGTATTAATGTGAGTAGGAGGAAGGAGGTGGGAACCGACAAGGAGAGTTACCTGTGCCTATGGTGGGTCACCCTCGTCCTGTTCGTTGTACTAGGTGCTGTGTTACAAATGCTACTGTTGGGGTACTGGCTGGACAGCGACCGCATCCAGGAGAGAGACCATGGCGGTAGATGGTGGGAGAGGCATGGTAGTAGCGTGGTGTACTTTGAACATCCATGCTTAAGCATGAATGAACAACCATAGCCAGTCGGTCAGGGAGCTAAAGGAGAGTTCTTTATGCGCTGACAGTAGGGTAGCTGATTCCAACTTTGATTCTTGTTCACTCTTAGATTGGTAATAAGAGGAGCTGATTATGGCGAAAGGAGGAGGGAGGTGACATTCATCTCGTCTTGTGGTCTGCTTCTCGTGAAAGCAGGAGGGAGATGAGTCAGATGACATCCGTCTCATCTTTTGTGTTCTTCTTCTTCTTCTTCTTCTTCTTCTTCTTCTTCTTCTTCCTCATCTTCCTCCTCCTTCCTCTTCCTTCTCCCTCTTCTTCTTCTTCTTCTTCTTCTTCTTGTGCTTCGGCAGCTGTTGCTGCTTCTGCTGCCGCTCCTCCTCCTCCCTCTCCCTTCCTTCCTTCCTCTCTCCCTCTCTCTCCTTTAGCATTTCCTCGTATAGAGTTTTGCTTCGTGAATCGCACAAGATCATAGCATCTGTGTAATAGAGATGGGGCTTTCAGGAACTTGCCATTCAGCCTGTTATCCTATGTTGGATGTGGTGGATGTCAAACGAAATCCTCTTCGAGCGTCAATGACTTGATGGACCTGCTCCACCGCTCTCTGCCTGTGAAAAGACACAGAATTGCGAGTATATCTGTCCACCTACCTGAAGATGACCTTGCTGTTTGATGTAGAGTGCAGTGGGGCGGAGGCTGGTATTGCTTACACAGGGAGACTCTACAATTTGAGGCACACGGTCGATGATTCACAGGTATGGGAGAAAAGAAAAAGTAAACAAATGTACTATGTACTCAAGCCTCGCTAGTGGCTGCATTATGTGCTTTTTGAGCAGTATTCCTTCCGGGCCATCCAGTCCAAAATCTCATGCCTGATGCTTGACCACATAGGAAAACACTCGAGAACTACTTGAGAGAGCTGTGCGAGTGGGACTCGGCGTATTGATGCGCAACCGTCATACGTTCATAATCCCTGATGTAGGTTAGAGTGCGGGGGCGGAGGCAATTTTTTTCTTTTGTTGATCATTCTTTTCTGTGAATGGCCTTCTGAGATTCTTCGGTTGGGACCTGGCCTTCTGAGACTCTTCGGTTGTTTGATACCGTGCATTATCAGTGTGGAAGCAAAACTCAGGTCCCTTTTCTTTGTGTCACGTTTTTAAGGGACGATGTCATTCTGATTGTCGCGGCGATATGTCAATTTTGCCAGGAATTTGTCCCTTCCTGACAGTTCATTTCTATAATGCATCTGAAAAATGCAATCAGACTCGTTCTCAAGCACACTTTTCATGCATGTAAACAGCAACGCAGCATACTGGCGACATGCCCCCACTCAAAACTCAGAGATATGGCTTTCAGATACGAGTTCACTCTCAATTGGCTATGGCGACTTCAGCGCCCAAACATCTCACTGTTCACATACACTGGATCACCCTGGATATCCCACACGCATCACTCTAACACTMWMACACACACACACACTCGYTACTAACTACAGCTATGGCAGCTATTGCTGCATCTAATCCTATMGCTAYACTAACTCCCTCTCTCTTGCCCACTGCGACCTCCGGGYTCATYTGCAGACCTCCTTGCACAAGGCGCTGTGGCAGCGCTTCCGCATGGCTCACGCAGGAATGAATGAATGKCTGGGCGCTGCCTCTTGATTTATACTTCAGAAACTCGTTGGTCTGCCCTTTGCCATCGGCCCTTGGTGCTCACAGTCCCCCTGTGGTACTTGCTGGACCGGACTGGGACTGACTGGACCTTCCGCTGACTGACTGTGGACTCGCCGCTATCCTACCGACGTTGTACTGCAATCGCACTGCGATTTAGTCCCCACTGGCCTCACCACTTGACCACTTGCCTCGCCACTTGACCACTTGCTAACCTTCTAGAAGGTCTACAGCTAGTTTCTGGACTTTGCTAAGACTCCTACCCTATAGACCTACAGATCGAACCCTCCTACCTACGGACCTATGACAGCCCTACCTGTTGTCTACGGATACAGAGGTCACAGGTTCGATTCTTGGGCTCTACACAGATACTGTAGATGGGTAGGGTGAGGTCTGGGGATCGAACCCTGGGTCTGCATCTGTTGCTGCAAAAGGTGAAAACCGTTTCACGCCTGCCGTCCTAAATTCGAGGTCCTCCGAGAACATCTCAGTCCAAGGCGGGACCTTTACCTTTCCTGTCACGCTCATAGGCTCTGACTATGTCGGGCGCTGTTTCTAGAAGTTCTGATCTCGTAAACCAGCGGTCATCCTCCGGTTCCTGATATGCAAAACGGACTTTGTACTGTTTCTGTGGACGACCTCTACCTCCTGTTCTGAAGACATCTTCATTTACAATGCCTTCTATGCCGTAGCTCCCATCCATATCCGGAGGGATCATGGATCTCCTAGAAGGGAACTGTTGGCTTGTAACACATGGCAATAGCTTAGAAGCGTGAAACACAGGATATGTGTGGAGGTGTACTGGGATCTCTATAGTGTAGGACGGTCCATCCTCTCCGCCCTTGACTTCTGGAACCGGCCACGGTCCTCTATATGCAGGCAGTAACTTCGGTGAGATGTTTTCTTCCGGTGCAAACTCTTTAGCCTTGACCCAGACTAAGTCACCTACCTGAAACTGCGACGGTCGGCGGTGCTTATTAGCTTGCTCTATCATTCTATGTTGGGCCTTTCTGAGGTTCTCAACAACAGCTGCTAACTCTTTCTCGTGCTGTATGGCAAACTCCCAAGTACCGGGCGGTAATCTGTGAACCTGATCCCGGTTCAGTCCTTCGAACGGTTTGCGTGGTCTAAAGGACTTGTGCAGCTCATTGGGAGTGCGGCAGGTGGATAGATGCACGCTGTTGTTGTATGCACTAGCTACTTTAGGTAACATCTCATCCCAGTTAACCTGATCTGGTCTAATGTACATGTGCAGAACTTGCTGTAGGATCTTGTTCATCTGCTCGGTCTGACCGTTAGTCTCTGGGTGGCGGCCAGACGACATTAAGAACTTAGATCCGTAGACTTTCATGAGTTCTTGCCAGTTCTGGATGGTGAAACGACTATCTCTATCACTAACTATTGACAATGGGATACCATTCTCACTAACCCAAAAGTCAAAGAACTTCTGTATCACTAAGTCTGTACGTGCCTCTGCAGGCAAAGGAACAAAAACTGCATATTTACTAAACCGGTCAACTATGACCATGACTTGACTTTTGCCATGTCGCCTTTTGACTTGGGTGTCCATAAAGTCTATGGACACTGAGTCTCCCGGCGGGTCCGGAATAGGCAAGGGTCTGAGAAGACCTAGGGGCTCGCGTGTAATGGTCTTATTACGCTGGCATACTTTGCAGCTGCGGACATACTCTATGCAGTCATTCTTCATCCTTGGCCAGGTATACGCACGCATCAGGTTGGCTAGAGTCTTTTGCCAACCGAAATGTCCCTCTGTGTCATGGCATTCCCCTAGGATTAGACTGCAAATTTCCTCACTACTGGGAACGCATAGACGGTCAAACGCACCTGTCTTTTCAAACAATAATCCTTCGATAGTGCGGTAATGCGGTTCTGTCTCTGGGGCCTCCTTAACTCTCTTGAGGAGGTCGCTATAGATAGGGTCCTGCGCATACGCTTGCTTTACTTTTTCCTGCAGGTCTCTCCCTACATCCAGATAGTGTACTATGGCTCCAAAGTAGTCTGACCTCCTACTCTGAGCATCGGCAACTACGTTATACTTGCCCTTCACTGGCTTAAGCTCAAAGTCATATTGGTCTATCTCTGCGGCCCACCTAGTTAGCTTAGGTGTCATCTTGGCCTGGGTCTTTAACCATCTAAGCGTTTCATGGTCATAATACACTTTGAATTGCCTCCCAAGCAGATAGTGCTTCCGATGGTCTAAAGCCTGCCTGAGAGCGTAGAGTTCTCTCTCGTACRTGGAGGTAGCGACCTTCTCACAGGGCATCCTCGCTGACATGAACTCTACGGGTCTATAGCCATTGYCGTCGTCTTGCTGCAACACGGCGCCTATCCCATACTGACTCGCGGCCGTGGTGACAACAAATGGCAAAGACGGATCTGCAACTTTGAGGACAGGATACTCTATTAACGCGCGCTTTAACTTCTTGAGCGCAGACGTACAGTCTTTGTCCCATTGCCAGATTGCCTCTTTCTTTAGCAGTCTGCGCAAGGGGGCGGCGATAGTGGAGAAGTTCC